TGTATTTCCTATTGGTGACACATAATTTGGTTAACAAATTTGGTTTAAAAATTTGGTCTCCCTAGCATTACCCTTTGCCTAAATACCTTGAAATTTGAAAGTCCCTCACCCAAACATACCCTAAAAGAGTGTACTTGAATTTTCACAATAAGGTAACAATTGTTACAAACTTGCAAGAACCATAAAAAGGGTATACAGGATTTTTTCTTCTTTCCTTTTTCTGATGAACAATATGTGAATTAGAGCATATCACTACCTACTGTATTATGTTATTAGATATCTTTAGATACAACAAAATTTTTTTATAACTCTAAATATTTGGTATAGCCATTTGAAATCCACATATATTTTCTTTTATTTACGAGTCAATAAAAAATGACAAAAAGATTAACAAATATTAAAAAGAAAATATTATGAAGATTACATTTTGTAAATTAGATTGAACTATTTTTGTAATAGAAGCGTGGCATACTTATATTATGTACCCTACTTTTATTAAAAAGATGATAATCAATTACATATGATTTACAAAATTTATTCTCCCTAACATTATTCTTAACAAAAACTTTTCACATTTCCCCCCGTTTCGTGGCGAATAAGTTTGACAAAAGAAAAAAAAGGAAATTAATACAATCGAAACACAGTCATTGACGAAAAGACTACCGTTCTTCCCCATCCAGCACACAGTATAGGAAGGGGTACTAGAAAACGTGGTAGAGCATACATAGTATCCATATTGTTTTGATTTAAGTTTCACATGTTTTCATTTCCCCAATTAACACTGTTTCCACGCCTGTCTATATATTAAAAGCTAAGACCATCAGTACATCTACAGAGATCTCAACATTTTAAAAGAAACAAGAGTCTAGCCAAATCCTTTCAAATTGCAGTGATGGAAGCCAATATTATCTTTCTCCCATTTTTCTTGCTATTCACCTTCATACATTTCTTAATCAAACGTTTTTGGCATCGAAGCGATAGTAAAGACAACAAAGTGCTCAAGCAACGCTACCCACTTCCTCCCACTCCCAAATGCCTAAAACCTTGGCCTATTGTCGGAAACCTCCCCCAACTGCTTGCGAACAAGCCCACATTCCGGTGGATACACAAGATGATGGACGAAATGAACACCGAAATTGCGTGCATCCGTCTAGGAAACACTAATGTGATTCCCATCACATGCCCTCAACTGAGCCGTGAAATCTTAAAGAAGCAAGATGCAATTTTTGCCTCACGTCCGCTTAGCATTTCTACTTTCCTCATTACTAAAGGGTACATAACTACGGTTATGGTGCCCTTCGGCGAACAATGGAAGAAAATGAGAAAGGTGATCACGAGCGAATTGCTTTCTCCAATGAGGCACAAGTGGCTCACTGACAAAAGGGTTGAAGAGGCCGACCACATTGTCCAGTATGTGTACAACCAGTGCAACAACAATGAAGGTGGTGGCATTGTAAATCTGAGACTTGCCACTCAACATTATTGTGCAAATGTGATTAAGAAAATGGTACTCAACAAGAGGTACTTTGGGGAGGAAATGGAGGATGGTGGGCCTGGTTTGGAGGAACAAAAGTATTTAGAAAATGTATTTACAATGCTTAACTACATCTATTCATTTTCTGCATCCGATTACATCCCATGCTTGAGGGGGCTTGACTTGGATGGCCATGAGAAGATTATCAAGGATGCCATAAGAGATACAAGAAAATACCAAGACCCCCTAATTGAAGAGAGGGTTCGTGAACATCAGAAACTTGGCAATACCGTGGAGGCACAAGACTTGCTTGACATTCTTATCTCTCTAAAAGACAAGAATGGAGAACCCTTACTGTCTCTGGAAGAAATCAAAGCTCAAGTCAATGTAAGCTCTCTCTCTCTCTCTCTCTCTCTCTCTCTCTCTCACTATCTCTCATTCTCTGACTCATCAGTTATTGAGTTTTTACAGGTTGTGCATGTGTTTACAACCATAATAATTAGATGTAGATGTAGACATGCATAAATATTACTAAGAGTTGGTGTAATATGCTGTCATTGATAACTGATTTGTCAAAAAAGTTTTGTGTACTACTGAAGTAGCGCATCTACAACACATGCTACAATACACGTACAGACAACCACATATTTTTCTTTACTAATTTTATATATAGAGAAAAGTGTCATAACATTTCAAATCATAATTTTAGACAATTTTCTACCAATATCTTAAATTAGTACATCAAAATTGAACATTTATAGTTCTTTCACTTTTTTTTTTTCCAGAAAAGTTGAATGTCATAGGACTCATATATCCCTGGTTATGTAACATATTGCCTCTCATTTTTTTTGCATACTACTAAGCTGCAATAATATGCATATCGATCCTCTTTTAGTTTTTGTTGGTACCAATTAATGATCAAGAAATTAACATATATAATTGTTGTGTGGATGCAGGAACTAATAATGGCAGCAGTGGACAATCCCTCAAATGCTGCTGAATGGGCAATTGCAGAGATGATAAATCAACCCGAACTATTTGAGAAAGCAACACAAGAACTTGATGCTGTGGTCGGAAAGAACAGACAAGTTCAAGAGTCGGATTTGTCGCAGCTCAACTTCGTAAAGGCCTGCGCCAGAGAAGCCTTCCGCCTCCACCCGGTGGCACCGTTCAATGTTCCCCACGTGTCCATGGCCGACACCACCGTCGGAGATTACTTCATCCCCAAGGGTAGCCACGTGATTCTCAGCCGAGTTGGGCTTGGGCGTAACCCTAAAGTTTGGAACGAGCCTCTCAAGTTCAAGCCGGAGCGGCACCTCAAGGACGACGGGACCGGGGTGGTGCTCACCGAGTCGGAGTTGCGATTCATTTCGTTCAGCACGGGAATGCGGGGATGCGTTGCGAGCGGACTCGGCACTGCCATGACCGTCATGTTGTTTGCTCGGCTTCTTCATGGGTTCAGTTGGCACGTGCCGCCTACTGAGTCGAGCATTGAACTCACCGAGTCACAAAACGACCTCTTACTCGCTAAGCCACTTCTTGCGTACGCGAAGCCGCGTTTGGCAGCTCACGTGTACAATACGGGAAACTGAAAAAATTTGGACACAGATTGTATTTTGGTTCATTTGGCATTTGAGATGTGATTGGATCGATAAAAATAAGTGGAACACATTCATACCGATTTTGTATTGAATTAAATTATGTTAATCTAATATTTGATACGTAAAGATTAGTCATGTGCATGCAATCCGCATTTTTTCAAGATATAAATTACACTTCTGTCAAAATCTCTCTCTCTCTCTCTCTCTCTCTCTCTCTCTCTCTCTCTCTCTCTCTCTCTCTCTCTCTCTCTCTCTCTCTCTCTCTCTCTCTCTCTCTCTCTCTCTCTCTCTGTGGACCATGCTAAGCTTGTACATTATTTATGGTTTGTATAAACACCTCGCCCTTTTAGCCCCAAGTTAACTTCATATCAGCATAAAGAAGGCTGATATTTTTTTAAATACAACGACATATTTTTACATTAAGGGGAGGGAGGAGTTCAGTTAAGCCACACATTAGGCAACCTAATTGGGTATCAAGTTCGCCATCTAAGAGATTCAAACCTAAGACCTCTACCTTATAAATGAAGAAGAATACCACCAGACCATAATATAGAGTGACATAGAAGGCTGGTATTAAACCACGGTGGCCTTAAAAATGGATGCAATAATGCACGGCAAGTGAAAAGTTTTAACAAAAAAATTTGCACTAAAAGATAAATAACAATATTTACCTGTAGAGTAATGCTAGTAGATCAAATTTGCAAACTATGTGATGTATCACCAATAGAGAGTCCGTTAATCAAATTTTAAGTAATAATCCAATCATTAACAATCACGTCATATGATTTACAAAATTTAATTTAAATAGTTGGTCTCGTCCTTACTAGTATTAGTTACAAAGAAGCATTTGTAGGCATGCATATCCACAAGAATATTTCATTCAGTGCAACTCATGTTCTGATGACCGCTGTCAAGTTTTATTTTGGAAGAATGCATATTACAATGATCAATATGCAGAGACAAATGAAGCCTTATATATAAAACTATAGGGATATTAGATTGAATATGATTCAGTCCAAAGTTGAGATTGAACAATCCATTGATTATTAGGCCTAGTTTGGCGTGTAGGAATCGATAAATGATTAGCTCACTAAATATTGACATTTTTCTTCTATAATACGTACACTTAAAGAGTCTAAAAAAATTAATGGTTTGGGTCTTGCATATAGGAAATAATAGATTTTGCAACGGTTAAACTTTACTGACATTGTAGCCGGACCCATAATTATGATTTAGAAAGTAATGTAGGGTGCAGCGGATAAAAACGAAATAAAATGAAATGGAATGATAGATAGGTGTAAAAGGAAACTATAGACAAGGTCCACTCCAAGTGCAAGGAGAGACTTGAAAACCCTATAAAATGAAATGGAATCATATATGTATCACAAAGTATTTGGATATTGTCTCGGATAGAAGCTTGGTGAAATAGACATGTTTGTAAAGATACGAACTACATGCACTTGGACAGAAAGACCTTATCAAGCTTTATTGTTCCCTGGGGTTGGCTTTGGGCCTTTCCTATGCAGCTACGTGGAAGGCGAAGAAGGGGGGTGCCATAAATGAGATATCATTTTGAAAGAGCTAGAATTCTAATCTTGTATCTGGACCTACATGAACTAGTTGAAGTACGAATCCTCCCAATATACTTCAATTGAGATAATGACAAATCATTTCACCTTTTTAGATTAACTTTTAAGGGGTTCTAAAAAAACATAACGAAAAATATTATTCCTAGAGTTGAAGACGAGAAAGAATGTATAAACCAATGCTACCATAGAAACATTGTTTCGAGTGTATTTATTAGGAGCAAGGCCCAATATTTGACCAAAAGAAAAAAAGAGCAAGGCCCAATACCTCAAATGTGTAAAGAAATCTTAAGGCCCAATGGTGGCCATCTAGGGCTCAGATCCGAGTCGTCACTGAGTCCCTCGCTTCTCTCTCATCTCCCTCCCACACAAATCAAAGCTCTGCGCTCTCTTTCTTTCTCTCTCTCTCTCTCTCTCTCTGCGCGACCATGCTTTCAGGGGACATTCCGCCTAACCAAACTATATACATTAAGAATCTCAACGAGAAAATCAAAAAAGAAGGTAACTCAATCTTTGCCCTATCCCTTCTTCCCTTTGTTTGGTTGCCGAGAAAATCACAAAAGAAAGAAACTACAGGAAAACAAAATGTTGGGTCTTTAATTCGTACTAATAAACTCACCATAGTAATTTATAGTATGCAAAATTTAAGCTTTTTATTTTATATAATATTTGAATTTTAAGTTCTCTCAGCACAAGTTGGGGTTTAGGGTTCAGTTTAAATTGGTGAGTGCAAGCTCAGAAGCTAGGGCATTGTGAATTTAGTGCAAACTGGGAATTGTTGGCGATTGAGAAATTGGTTCAGATCATATGACCATTTGAATTACATGGTATATTTAATTCTTAAGGGATTTGAAGATTTTCAATTTCATTTAATCAAGTTTATTACTTGTAGAGTCTCATTAGACAGTTTATACGAAGAATCAATTCAAAATTTCATCTTCTGAATCCGCCATACCAAGATGCATCATTAGACAATTTTGTGTTTGTAAAATGATTCTGGTTCACTGGGGTGCTTTTATGGATCATAAATTGAGAAAGCGAGGCTATGTAGGCAAGAGAGTAATCACAATTTTGTTATCTATATTGGTCTCACATCTTGCTTTGGTGTTTTGCATCCGAATTTTGAATTGTCTAGCATGAAAAGACCTTTTTTTTACTACTTTTGGGGATAAGCTTTCGTATATTTTATTCTGTGAGTTAATAGTGCCATTCTTTTTACTTTGCAGAATTGAAGAGGTCCCTCTATTGCTTATTCTCTCAATATGGCAGGATTTTGGATGTTGTTGCCTTGAAGACACCCAGGCTTCGGGGGCAAGCATGGGTTGCATTTCTAGAAGTGGCTTCTGCTAGTAATGCTGTGCGGCAGATGCAAAACTTTCCGTTTTATGATAAACCCATGGTGAGTGAGTCTAAAATTGAATAAGCCCAGTTGGTACCGTATTGCATATATGTTGGACATGCTTGTTACTTATCCAAATTCTGTAACCATATTAAAATTTCCTGCCTATGCTATGTTCTTCCTTATTGTCTCAAATTTTAACTCTAAATGTATGCGTGTTCATCGTTGAGGATGATTTTTCTTTAAGCTTGTGGTTGAAGACCATATCTGGCATTGCATACACTGAAGGGTGAAGTTATTGGTACCTGAAAGTTTATTTTGGAAGTAAATAACCTATTAACGGAACAACAATGTGTTCACTTTAAATGTTACATACACTCTGTTCCTTTGTTTTTTCTCAAATGAAGGTGTTTGATTACACTATTATTGTGATATGCACATCCACTAACTTTTCTTAGTTTAAAATGTTAATATGAGCACAATTTATTTGGTGCAGCGGATTCAATACGCCAAAACAAAGTCAGATTGCATTGCTGAAGCAGAAGGAACCTTAGCTCCAAAAGAAAAGAAAAGGAAGCAGGAAGACAAAGGTGACTGAAATTTTGAAGTTATAAATAACCTTGAAGTTTGTATAAAATATTTCATAACTTTCGTTAAAAGTAGTAATGATATGGATTAACCATCGTTATAGCATATGAATGTAAAGATCACAATGAATCAAATAACTTGCCTTATATGTTCCTGAGGATCTTCAGAATACGTTGTTTCCAATTGAACCATTAGGGCATATGACATTGCTTCCACTTGAACCGCTAGAACCTACTGGGTATGTGCGTACTAATAGTAGGAAAAAGTAATATTGTTGTGATAGTTTGAGATTCATTCTGGGTATTAAAGTACTGCCTTACTTTGTTTGGCTGCATGTCTAGAAAATTTTGATAGAATGCATTTGACTCATTTGGGTTTCTCTGGCCTCTAGGTGTAGGAACATCACTGTATTATTTAAAGCATTCATTTTTCCCTTGACTTGGGGAAATTATGATAACGTTTGATTGACCCCTTTTTAGTAAGGTCTATTTGGGTTGGCTATAATTACAAGGTGGCTCATACAGAAAATCTACTTTCAGTTTATATAGAAAAAAATGCTTGCTCAAATTAGATTGTTTAATACCATGTGTTTTATGTTCTGAAATAAATCTGTTGATTCAGCTGAAAGAAAGCGGCGAGGTGATGAAGGACAACAATATGCTACCGAAAATGGTGCAGCTGCTGAAAATGGAGGCAGAACGGTAAGTATTTCCGATATGAACACCATTATGCAAGTCTATTTGATCCACTTCTTTGTCATCTCCCACGCTCTGAATGGTGAATTTATTTTAATTCTCTGCGTATCGTCAACAGGCCCCGTCCCGCCATGGAAACTCGAATACACAGGAAGCTGCATCTCCAAACAATATCCTGTTCATTGAGAATTTGCCTCACGAAACTACCAGTGATATGCTGGAATTGCTCTTCAAACAGTTTGCAGGGTTTAGGGAAGTCAGGATGATTGATGCGAAGCCAGGCATTGCCTTTGTAGAGTATGAAGATGACATTCAGTCATCGGTCGCCATGCAGGCCCTTCAAGGCTTCAAAGTCACCCCTCAAAACGCCATCGCCATCACTTTTGCCAAGAAGTAACTAAAAATTACGGATCCTATTCTCTGTAGTCGAATGTTGTTTTGTTGCGGATATGTAATAGTTGAATAGTTGTTAATCTCACTGTACTCATGTATGCACGGCATGCTCGTGTATGCACGGGCGGTTTCTGATCCTTGATCGAGTGTGTTATGCAGATCAATGGTCAAAAATCGCCATGCCACTGAACATAGCTCGGCTTGAGAACCATCGGGTTCCACTTTCATGCGTTTTTATTTCTATTTTTTTGGATCGTTGGTTGCATGTCACTCATATGAAGTGGAGTAACTGTACTTAGGATATTTAGATCTATTCAAGTATGATTTTGGTATATTTAAAATATTTATAAAAAAGTTACTCAGTACTATGATCTAATGGTATTCCTCTTTGTTTAGAAGTGAAAGGTCTTAGGTTTGAATCTCATGGATGGCGAATTGAATCTCATGGATGGCGAATTCGATACCAAGTTAAGTTACCCATTGTCTGGCTTAGCCGAACTCTTAAAATATCGATGTACTAAATATCAATGTTCTAAAAATCGGCCTAGGCGGCCGCCTAGGGGCTGGGCGGTGGGTTTCTGTGACGATTTTGGGCAAAACGTTCAATAAATCAGAGGGGGTCTAGGCGGCTGACTAGACGGAGCTAGGCAACCCTAGGCGATGCTAGTCGTTCCTCGTCTCTTTGCTTTGCGTCTGTGCAAACTGCAAACCCAAAAACTCTAACTATCTCGCGCAGTGCTGCATCTCAGACTTGATCAGTGCAAGCGTGCGGCAGGGTTGAGTGACGTGATAGTGAAGTACCAGCTGCCAAACAAGGACCTCGACTCGTTGATCTTTGTCACCATCGACGAGGATGTCGACACATGATGGAGGAGTATGATCGCATCGCACAAAATCAAAACTCAAAGTTGGCGCAACTCTGCCTCTTTCCCAGAACTTTTGTGCATGAAAACAGAGAATTATTGTGGTGGCTTAGAGGGAGTGATAAAGGGAGACGTGTGGAGAAGAGATGAAGGGTTAGAGGGAGTTGCTTTGATTTGTTGTTTTTCAGAAGATAAGAAGATAGAGGGTTAAACGTAAAAGTCGAGGTGACTGATAGAGATTAGGCAGCAGGGAAAATCGAGAAAGTAGAAACAATGCCTAGTTTTGTGTGAAAGTCCACCAGCCTCATAATAAAAAAACAAAGAATAATTACCCACTATCCATTAATAAATATATTATATAAATTATTCAAATAATATTTTATTATTTGTTATGTTTTAAAACAACACTATATTATATTCTTATAATATAATATTTTATTATTTTTTCTTTTTAAGACCAGACTATATTATACTCTTGCATTATATATGTGTATCTTTTTCCAAAATAACGTATAACTCAATGTTTATTTATCTATTATATAGTAAATTTAACTAATTTATATGATATATATAATTATTTTACTCAAATCTGTCTAGGCCCTTGCCCGTTACTCGACTAGTGTCTGACACTTTTTAGAACCTTGCTATATATAAGGGATCCCCATTTTTTTTTCAAAAAATGAGGATTAGGTGTGGGGCTCACTCCACGTTGAATTTCAACGATCCGAACCGTCTAATTTGTAAGTCTTGATTCATAATCATCTTTACAAAAATTCAATTCAATATGAAACCATTTGCCTATTTAATTATCAAGATAAAATTTCATTGTTTCTTATATAACAAAGTATTTGTTAATTTCTTTGAATCCAATTAGATGTCTTAAACATTTTTGATTTGGCTAATATTTTGCAAGGATAATCTATGAGGTGCAACTTGAAAAATAAATGGTTCAGATTGTTAAAGTTTGATGTAGTGTGGACTTTACAACTAATTCTTATTTTTATACAAAAAATGGGGATCCATTCCCTTAAAGATTTCCTATATATATACAACTGACATTTTTTTAAATTAAAGGTGAAATTTTGGCTAAAAAGGATAAAAATTCCTATTTTTTGTGGTGTGTGACTTTTGTCTAGTATCTCTTCCCAAAACTAAAAGACTTCATTTTTGGTCAATAAAAATTAAGAAAAATACCAAGAGACATTATCACGGTGGTGGAAAACTTGTTTGTAAATGCTTTTAAAATGACTGAAAAAGTGTTTTTAGAGAGAATGTTTTTTAGTTCCATTGCACTTGAAGTGCTTCTTGGAAGAAACACATAACCAGTGCTTCTTCAAGGAAATATTTTAAGTGCATTTTCAGAATTCACTTGCGTGTTTACTAAAAGTTGATTTAAAAAATATTTTCATCAAAAAAGCTTTCAATCATTTTAAAAAGGGGTGTGATATCCACACACCACTTTTTACTTCTTTCACATCCTTTTAATTTTCGGCCGTCAGATAAGATGAATTAAAGAAGATCAAATGACAGAAATTAACAAGAGGTGTGTAAGAAGTAAAAAGAGGTGTGTGAATAACATACCCCTTTAAAAATACTTCCAAATGAATCATTATTTGTTGCTGTCCCGATGCATTTTTTCCCCTTCATATCGGTCTTCTTCCATTCCATTATTGCGTTTGGGTTTCGGAAGGACAACGGCATAACTACAAGTTGAGATATACAAGAGGACCAAAACGTTGTATACAAACATAAACAAACATTCCACACAACAAAATACACAAAATATAAACTCGACAGCCAAACCACATAATACTTATTATCAGATAGAGAGTAATGTTACACTTACAACAATTTTCTTATTACATTTGTCGCACCTCTCTAATTGAGTAGAGCTCAATAACATATGTGAGTCTTATCTCTATTAAAGAGAGAATGCAAAAATATGGTATGAAAAATATAGTAAAAATAACATTTTTGCCAGATATAGAGTACAACGCTGCATGTTAAGTATTTCGTGTGCTTAAACCCCTTTCAAACTAATATTAATTTGTACGAGTTCAAACGATAATTAACGCAGCATAACTTATAGCGCCAAAACGAGGCCAGGCACAGACTTGTTATCCGAGAGCTTACTCTGCCAGAGACACTGGCAATTCCCCGGTTGTGATCTGATATGCGGTGAGGATAACCGGGTGACCGTGACGGACGTGTTGTAGTATTCCCTGACCTGGGTAATAATCCCATCAGTGAAGATCCACGCATGCACCCACGAAACGGAACGAACCTCGTCGTATCCTTCAGCCAGCACCATTGATCCAAATGCAATGATCGAGAGAGGGACGAATTTGAACGATGAGTCATACGGTGGTGCACCAGTGAGTAGGCGGTTCAGATGCTGGTGAGTTGGGGGGCCATGGAACCACCACTCGAGGTAGGGTGCGAGGAGAAGGTGGACGACATCAACGTCCTTGGAGGTTAAGGCTTGGTATAAAGCCGTCACTGTCGTTTTGTTTTTGGCTTCTTCGGAATCTTCTCCCTCCATCGGACGTAGTTGAGAGTTTGCCAGGTCTGGAGCTCAAAGCAATAGGTGTGAGGGACTTGGTGAGTTGGGAATGTTTGTGTTGAACCGTTAAGTGTTATGGCATTTGTGTTTATATAGGAGGAGAACATGGTTTGTGGGAGTTTTGGACAGTTGCATGTGAGTATCATTGTATAAGGCAAGAAATTTTGAGTGAGGTACTGCTAGGTAGATCAAAATTTTAAATTAAAATTTGTAGATCAAATAATGTGATTGTTGATGATTGGATTATCACTGAAGTGTTGATTAACGTGTTTATTTTTAATTGGTGACATATATCGAGTTTACAAATTTGGTCTTCCTAGCATTACCCTACCTAGCATTAGCTTTTTCAGTGTGCCGGAAACACGACTTGGTACACCAATTGTCATAATACAAGAAGTTGAAATTTTTTTTTCAAGTACCAACTATTTGTATTATAACACTTGGTGTACCGAACTTTTTTTCTGACACACTATAACGACGTAATCTTTGATCATAAACGTATTTCTTTTATGAATTCACCAAAAATACTAATTAATAGACCCAAGAGCTAATTTGTGTGTGTGTGTGTGTGTGTATACCAGTGAGAAAAAAAATAAGCAAATGATTGAAAGTTGTGGATGTTCACATAAGTATATTTCTGTTGGCTCCTCAATTAGTAATATGGAAGATTACGTACGAGAGAGGGAGAGAGAGGATATGGTACATTATTAGGGGCCCTTGTTATAAATTTTGTTGGGGATTTCAACTCGATTGAAAAAGAAAAGATACTCCACACTAAATTATCAAGTATGACTACTATTTAGAAGGAGATCCTCAATAATGTCTAGAGGTTTCTCAAACTAAACTACACTTGTGGAGGTTCCTTCTATAGTAATAATCGTTTAGAATTTAAAGAAATTTAATAGAGATTAAACTCCAAAGTTAATTTTTAGTCTTTTTAGTCAAAATTTGACTTAGAAATAAAAAGTATGATTTGAGATGTGATAAACATAAGATGATTATAGCAACAAGTCATAATATTTAGAAGGAAAATGATAAACACACACTCTTTTAACCTGTCACATATTCTTATTTAATTTTGCTTGTTATTTTCATTTGGCTTGTTCACCATTTGGCTAGCTAGAAATAAAAAAGAGTATTTGAGAAGTTAAAAATGACGTGTGTGAATCATCTCCTTATTTTAAAATATAACTGAATTAATCATGGTAAAATTTGACTAATCTTGTATTTATTTTACCTCAAAAGTTCTTATTATTTGAATTAATTCTTTAATAAGAATAATTAACTTCTTTATGGAACAGGTTGAAGTACAAATTATCACTAATATCATTGTTCTCGGTTTTTTATTTTTTATTTTTTGTCAGAAATTGAAAATTTTGACTTAGATTTAATAAGAATCAATTGATGAATTACTTTAGTGGTTAAAATATTTCTTTTTAGGATCAAGTACCTAAAATCTCCTAAATTTTTGGTGTCATTCTAAATTGGTCATAACATTTTTAAATATTCTAAATAAGTACCCAACTCAGTGAAAATGTCACATCTTTAGAGCCCTAGTTAATTTTTCAAACATAGATTATATTCAAACCGACCAACTGGATATATCATGGTCAACATTAAATTAGTTGCCTCAAAATCTACATTTTAAATATGGTTTATATACTATGGAACTCAATGATCAAACGGGTATTGAATTGAATCGAAAGGGAACCCAAATTGAAATTACATCATGAGAGCAATCTCCGAAGAGGGTTAAGAATTCAAATGGGGTTTAAAGGAACTTAATTCCACTCATGTGATTTCCTCATTTGCAAATTCTCGGCTCGTTCTTCTTTGCAGGTGATGAAAATGGTGGTGGCCGCATCATGGTAGTCCATACCATTTCAGCAATTTTCATGACCTTCACCTCAATGTTGGCGGCTTAAGTTGTAGGGTGGAGTTGATGGTTTTGAGTGGGCTTAGAGGTGATGGCCTGATGGGGGTGGTCTTCGACCTGAGATACAACAGATTTTGAATCCACCATTGTATATTTGAGAAACTTACTGATAACAAATTTCTTTGAACCGGCATCATCAATCTTATACTTTTTCTCTAGGGATTCCCACAACTCCTTCGATGTCTTGTACAGAGAATAAATGTCGTAGAGATTGTCATCCAAACTATTCAGGATATAGTTTCGGCAACAAAACTCAGAATGATTCCAAGCTTCAATTGCCATGACAGTCTCTCTCGTCATTGGATTCTCATTAGACTTTGGAGCTTCTTCCTTGACAACATGAGCGAGATTCATTGTTGTCAGGAAGAACAACATCTTCTGTTGCCATCTCTTGAAGTCCAACCCTTTGAACTTCTCAGGCTTTTCAAAGTATTTTGGCACAGCGCCATTCACATTTACAGATTGTTGATCCATAAATTTTTTGTTTCATGCATAGAATGGTTAAATTAGAATTATTACCTAAATTTGAAATTGATTTTAATCATAAGTGTGAAATATGTACTTAATCAAAATTTGTTAGGCAAACGAGAAAGTCAATTTTGGAAAGATCAAATGAATTACTTGGATTAATTCATAGTGATCTTTGTGACTTTAAATCCACACCAACTCGTGGAGGAAAGAATTATTATGTCACTTTCATTGATGATTGCAGTAAGTATTGCTATGTTTATTTGATTCATAGCAAGGACGAAGCTTTGAATATGTTTAAGACATATAAAGCCGAAGTTGAAAATCAACTTGAGAGAAAAATCAAAGCACTTAGATTCGATAGAGGAGGAGAGTATGAGTCTACTGCCTTCTCAAATTTTTGTGCACAACATGGAATTATACATCAAACAACGGCTCCATACAAACCACATCAAAATGCTGTTGCCGAAAGAAAAAATAGAACATTCAAAGATATGATTAATTCCATGTTAAATAGTTATGGGCTTCCACACAATTTGTGGGGTGAAGCTTTACTTACTGCAAATACCATATTGAATAAGGTTCCTCTAAAAAAGATTGACGAGTCACCTTATGAACTATGGAAAGGACATAAACCCACTTATAAAACCCTCAAAGTGTGGGGTTGCTTAGCAAAGGTGCAAGTTCCGTTACCAAAAAGAAAGAAACTAGGACCTAAAACTATTGATTGTGTATTTATTGGATATGCAAATAATAGTGCTGCTTATAGGTTCCTTGTTGTCAAATCTTCAATTTCTGACATACATGTTAACACTATATTAGAATCGGCGGATGCAGAATTCTTTGAGGATATATTTCCTTACAAAGAAAAGGAATCTGGCTTTAATACAAAACGAGTTCATGTTCATAGTCATGATGAAGCTTCTTCTACTGGTGTTCAACAAAATGATGTGGAACCACGAAGAGGGAAAAGAACCAAAGTTTCTAAAAACTTTGGACCAGATTTCATTGCTTACTTGTTCGAGAATGAACCTCGAACTTTTAAAGAAGCAATGACTTCTTCTGAGGCTCCTTTATGGAAGGAAGCAATTAAAAGTGAAATGGAATCCATTATGGAAAATAACACATGGGAATTGGTTGATTTACCTCCCGGTAGTAAACCAATTGGCCATAAATGGATTTTCAAGAAGAAACTTAAGGCGGATGGAACCATTGATAAATTCAAGGCACGGTTAGTAGCCAAAGGTTATCGCCAAAAAGAAGGGTTGGATTATTTCGACACGTATTCTCCAGTTTCTCGCATAACGTCAATTAGGACCAAGGAATAAAATATCGGTAATATCGAAAATATCGGTAGTCCGAAAACACGGAAATATCGATGGAAATATCGGGATAATATCGATATCGATAAAAATTACATGGAAACCACGGAAATTGTAAGAAAAACTTGAAAATTTTTATTGAAACTTTGCAGGATGTTTATTTAGTCAATTATCTATTAGTTTATCACAAAAAATTGGAAGGAAATGCATTGCATGATAGATTTAACATTATCAAGTTGATTATATAGCGAGCTGACAAACATTGTGAATGTAGAAAATATGTAGTAATTAATGAAAGAAGTTTAAACACACCAATTGGGGCTTATTGCGGCAAGTTTTTTAGATATGACCTCGCATCAAGTCGTCTTTTGTGTTAATTTGTAATCTTAACTGGTTTTGTTGTGTTGTGTCAATTAGTTAAATTAAGCGGTACATCCAATTGGGGCTTATAAACATTTTAATTCTCCTTAAAAATCTAAGGGCATTTAATCAGGATTTTAAGTGATTCTTTAAAGTTTAAGGGGTATTCGATCATGATTTTTAAGAAATTCATACATTCCAAATGTATTCATTTAGAAATTGATTCGAAGAGATTTTTAAAAAAGTTGGGAAACTCGAAAAAATTAGAAATATTTCACATAATATTTTAAACATTCTCAAATCGCTCCCTGAAAATTTGAGGGAATTCACTTAAAATTTTACATAAAAGTTTTAAAAATTATTAAACTTCATCAAAATTCATAAATTTTAAATCTATTATAATCCTTTAAAATCTGAATGGAGTAAAAAATTCAAATCTAAACCTAATATGAAACAATCACTAAATTACATAGAATTTCTAAACCAAATCTAACAAGGATCAATTACAATTCTAATACGATGTTGTAATTACTTGGAGTTTTTTAGGGCAATATGTAACACCCACCCCCATTTATAAAGATATATTTGTGTAATTATCCCCTAAACATTTTAATATATCAAATTGGTCCTCTTTGACTACCAATCAGGATCCAAAACATTGGATCCCTTTCTTTCTGAAGTGTCCACGTGGCAGCCCCCCTCCACTCTTCTCTTTTCTCTCTCTGTTCCCCCGTGACTCCCTTCTTCTTTTCTTCTTCTTTCTGTTTTCTTTTCTTTTTCTTCTGTCTCCCTCTCGGCTCTCTCTCATATCTCCCTCATCTCTCTTCTCTGCACCGCAACATGCACGCACCCATCGCACGCACCCATCTCCCTGCGCGAGGAACATCACCATC